ATTTAGAAACATTTGCACAAAGATTAGAAATTTCAACAACGTAGTTTTTAAATAACTTTCTGGCGTTGAAAAAATAAATACCTAAAATGCGGTATAATCTCATGCCGCTTTTTAGCACCCTTTAATAGCTGAGTCTTAACTCATTCAACTCTTTTCTACGTTAGTTCATATTTGGCAGGTTAGCAGTGATCTAAACGGCTAGTTGCTATCTGCGATCGACAACAAACCTTTTAAAATTAAAGTTCCTACTTATATAGACTTTTTAAATTAATCTGCTTTTATTTATTAACATCTTTTATACATTCTGTTTTCATCATTACTTGTGTTTTAGTTAATGAAGAAATTTACACTGAAGCGGCAATGAATGGAAATTTAGAACTAATGAAAAAGTTGATCAAGGTAAATAACTATAAGATTATTCTTATTTTATTCAACAGAAAAACAGTATTATTTTTTTGTTTTAACTTTTGTTGATATTTTGAAATGTTCAAAGAATTCTAATGAAGATCCAACTTGTACTAAAATAACAGTACATAAGCAAAAAAACAAGTGCGTTTAGAGGGTTTATACTTTATCAAAAATTCTCTTTAGATTTACTACTTTAAGTTTTAAAAGAAACAGTTATACTTAAAAAATTGTTTGATAAAAAACTGAGACCTTGTTGATGTGCAAGCCTTCTAAACGCTCTTGAGTTACCAGTAATTAATGCAGTCTACGCTGCAAGGTAAACTTTAACGTATCAAAGTATTTGATGAAGCCATTTTTTAGGAACCATATTTTGATTCCACTGAAGAAATGGCCAACGATGATTCTCGAAACTACATGAATCAAGCAAGCAGTGGAGCTCCATGGAGCGATGACTATGATCTTCAAGGTTCGAGGTTCGCGAAAGATGATGGTGAATCTTGTGAGTGTAATTAGAGATTTACCTTGTCACAGTCGTCGTTTTCACAACATTAATAAGATCCTCGCATTTGAAAACTACAAGCTCGATGTGTATAAAAAGTCAATTATTATCGGCTTTCAAAGTATTCAGAT